CTTATATATACAAATTAATTTTTATTTTTATTAATAATTATTTTTTTTAAATAATATTATAGTCTTACAATTTAAATATAAAATTATATATTTTAATATCAATAGAAAGAATCAGTCGGCAATATTAATTTAAATTGAAATTCATGAATAAATGTTAATTTTATCGTTTAATATAATATAAACATAATTCATTATTATCAACGTGACGGCTTACATATCTTCGCATGAAGATACCGTTTCCCCATAGTTTCTCCTAATGCTCTTATCCGGTGTCTCTATCTCGGGACTCGAAATAAAAAGGTCGGAGTGCATTACGTAAGGCTGCACCCGCTTCCGCTTCACTCGAGACGCGCCCTTAAGGAGATTTTACGGCCGGAAGTTGATCCCTTGTGCATTCGTGGGGGCGGATGCGACGCGACGGTGTATCGCGAGGGGCTTTTCGTAGTACGCAGATCCACAATTATGTAAAATAATAAGTTGAGCGTAAATCCAAGCTAGCCGCGCCAATGTTTTTCCCTTCTCTTCCGAGCGAGGCTTGACAATGAAAATTTCACATTATCATTATCCGTTTCATAAGAGTGTGAAACTTAAAAACATTTATGTTATATTTTGTAATATACATACATATAACATTGTATATTATATATATAACATTGTATATTATATACATCTATATAATATATAAAAAGTTTTGGCGGTAATGATTTTTGATACACAAAAAAATTAGTCTTAAATCAAGAAAAATAGTTTTATATGTAAACAAGAATATTATAATCTTCTTAAAAATTTTCTTGAATTTGTATTGATGCAAATTATTTTTACTCGAAATTAAAAATCTTCTATATGAAGATTATAATATTCTTACTTATGAAATATATATATATATATATATCTTAATTTAAGATTAATTTTTTTCTCATGACTTCGCGAATACTCATTTTTTTATATTTGCCTTTTTCACTCGTTATGAGAATAAAGTTCGACGTTCTTTATCGACGTTCTTTATCCAGGAAGAAAGCGGCCTATCTCAATCTCTGGCGCGATGGAAAAAGTCACACGTCGATAATCATTGCTCGTAAAGCTAGCGACGTGTGCCGCGTTAAGTGCGCGTGAGAGAGCTCTTCTTACTCCCCACGTTCATCTCCTCTATCGCGTTTCGCGTCTCGAGGTCATAAAATTCATCGCGCGCTGGTTCGAGAGGCTAGAGCGAAGAGGAGTTAGAAATCGGTTCGACGATCTTTATGTCCGGAGGAGCGCGTTTCGATTCGTGACACGTTCGCAAGGTGTCCCACTTCTGCAGCCACGTTAATATTTAACAAAATATTCTCCGATGAGTTTAAAGCCGACACTTGGAGAGTTGATTAAGGGCTCTATCCTTTGTTGCGGAAATCGAAGGCGTCTTACGACTAATTTGCACAACGAATAAGCCCGACAATCCGCGAAGAGAAAAACGATAAAAAACAAAACTCACTGATTAAAATTGTCAAGAAATGTCGTTCTGTTCAATCGAGGGTGATCATTACCGGACATTCTTCCCGAACGCGCGGTATGTGCGTATACCTCAGTCGCCATAATCACGGCACCTCCGAGTCCGTTAACGTTACTAAGCACGCGTACATCGATCATCGGCGAAGCCGGGTCTCCCCGTGGCTGCCCGAGACGAAAGTCGTCCGATCAACGGCGGTCGTATCAGGGAATTATTATTCACCGGCCGTCAGTGGATGAGAGAAGGAGAGGGCGGGGCCGCGGCGCATGCATCATCGAGAGCAAATTCCGTTGCCCCATCTTTATTTTACCACGGTAGTGAGGTACGCACGGGCGGCGTAGTAGGAAACGAGCGAGCGAAGGAGAGCGGAGTGAGGAAGAGAGAGAAAGAAGGGAGAGCTACTCCTCTCCCCTGATCCTCACGTGGCCGCCGTCAGTCCGCTTAACTGTAGATCAATCAATATATCTTGCTTGAACCCTCAGCCTCTATGCTCCATCGTCCCCTCCCTCCCTTGCCTTTTACTTCGTCCTCTCCCTCCGGCTGCCCCTAACGAGCTCATCGCTCGTGTAGCCAAAGAAAAAACACGAGAAAATGGTACAAAATGGCCCTTGAGAAATGCTGTCCGTCCATCCGTTCGTTTCTTCGTTCCTCCGTTCTCGCGATACGCTCGGCGGCGGTCTTCCTCCGTCTTCTCGAGGGTGGCGCACGGTGGCGCACGGAGGAAAGGGGGGGAGGGGGAGGAGAGGAGAGGACAAAGGGGTTTGTCGCGGAAATTGAACGAGGAGTATGAACATAAAATGTCTTCTCTTTCATTGATCAACTCCGATTAACGATCTTGCACGTGGTGGCGATCGCGTCGGGCACCTGCCGCCGCGCTACCGAGAAACCGCCCGTTCCGACACAGCTGTATACGCGCATCGTGCGTGCATACTGCACATATTTCGTTTTGTCAGCATTTTTTTCCCGGTGACAGGCGTTGACGTTTACGTCTTCACATGGGCGTCGCGCTCTGACGTATTACTTTACATTTCTGGGCGTCCCGCCGAACGGGGCCATTGTACTCTCGTTAATTATATCGCCGATAAGAAAATGCAAAAATTATTATTACGAAAGCGAAAGTTGGACAATCCGTGCGAGTAACGGATAATTAATTAGCTTTTTCAGGTGAACGCTTTATCATCTTACACGGAGAGGCAGTTTTGCTGGTGAATCTAAAAATTTTTTTGGACCTTCAAAATCATTATGTGGGATGTTTAAACGTGATAATAATGCTTTAAAAATTTTTGAATTACTTTTATCTGTATCCGGCCAAATTTTTAGATTTTTCCGGCAAAACTGTTGTAAAGAAAACTCGATGCGATTAAACGAACGTATATTGCAGCGAGTCTCGGTTGCAATTCGAGCACGTAATATGCACCGCTGTTTTGCAGTTACCTTTGTTTTATTGTTATTTTCTTAGTCCGCAAATGGGCTGTAGAGGGAAAACTAGATGGGATAGACGGTGAATAGACGTAAGGCGGCGAATTAATTATTATTTCGCCCTTGGGGAGAGACAGTGTTGCGAAACACCGCGCGATTAGTTGAATGAAATTTATCGACGCGGCAAATGTACGAGTCGAGAGTCGAGGCCGGAGTCGAGTTGAGCAGAGTTGAGTTGAATTGCGAAGAACGAGAAAGAGGGGAGGGTGGAGAGGAAACAAGCTCGTAGTTGCTTGTCGAATGAGCGTTTAAGGGATGTAGAAAGCGCCAGAGAAAAAGAGGATGAGGAGAGACACGCACGCTAGGAGAAGAGAAAGCGAGGGTGTACGGGGCTCATATTATAAAAGCAATTAGGAGGTCTCAGATTAGATATAGCACATCGTACATAACAAATATGATAATACGGGCCGCTAGCCCGAAGGGGGTTTGGCTTTCGTATGGTCGGCGAGGGTTTCGGGTTATGAGGCAGGTTAAACGGAATCATTAATAATCGGAGCTAACTAATCTGCCTGTCGCTATGAGCACACTTGTTTCACTCCTGTTTTTATTACCACGCCGCGAGGTAACGTTTTATTCTCCCGATCGGGAAGGGGGAGGCCATTGCAAAGGGGGGAGGGAATATCGCGCGATTATAAACGCGCACGCGACACAAAAATGTTGATTGCTAGCTAATTGCATCGAATTGTATTACAGAGTGCCGTACAACTGACAGAGATGTGTTTGTCGCTTACTCATCTCGATTATAATTAATTTAATTACTACACTCTGCACACTACTCTGTATTGTTTGTCTTGCTAATTACAATGTGATTTATTTTTACCTCTCTTTGTTTCAGCTGTACGAGTTGGACGATAATCCTGAACGGAGAGTATTTCTTGACGAGCTCTTCTCTTTCATGCAGAGTAGGGGTAAGTCCATCAACGGAATAGACATTCCGGTGTTAAATAAAGCGATCCAACCACAGGGTGTCTACTACCTAAAAAAATTTGGAAAATTTGAAATTCTCAGAGAATTTTCTTGAAATTGCTTTTGAAAATGAAATTTGAAAATTTTACAATATAAAATATTTGCTTTTTAGAATCCTCATAATTTCTTTCAAAATTTTTCAAATTCAATAATCAAAACTCGAGTGATTCTTAATTTTATTTTATTTACATACTTTTATGAATGGAAAATATTAAGGATTTTGCACAATAAATATATATATATATATAAATACATATTTATCACCATAAAAATCAGGATATTCTCAGGGAATTTTTTTTCGGCTTTGAGTAGACACCCTGTAATATGAAAATAATGCACGACACTTGGCACGATCTCTGTGTACAAGCGATGAAGTAACAGTAATGGAGTTTATATTACAAATATTGATCGTTCCCTCGGCGCGTTTGCAAGGACGACTTTTCCAGCGATAAAAATTTCCCCTTTGACGAGGTTCTGTCAGTATTTGCCAACTTTACAGAGGCAAAAATACATCGCGGATATTTCGCGCGTTGAAGAGTCTGAAGCCGCTCTACTTACACACATCCTATCTACATCTATAATTTATATTTAACTCATGCATATCCATCATACATCTTGTCACGGTCACGCGCTGTGCCCCCAGCCCGTCTTTCGCATCTCCAGAAAAATACTCGGAACTCGGATTAAGAAAAACTCGAACGGGTGGGCGTCATAAATCGGGCCGGGCACCATCCGACCTCTTTCAAGAGGAGAGACGCGTCCCGCAAATTTGTTTAGATCCGCCGTTCGAATTTGTCGACCGTTGGAGAAAGATACACACGCGTGACTGCCCCGCGACCCGCATCGCGTTTCCTGCACACGTGGATTTTCGTAGCCGGTACGTCCGACCGGCGCGTCATAAACGTCCACGTGGTTAAAAGGTTCGATAACACGTTGCATCTGCTCGGCACCGAAAGCACCGAAATTAGAATCGCCGATGAGGCGCGGAGCGGAACAAAACGTCCGTGAAATCGCACGGTCGTAGAGTCTCTCTTTCTCTCTTTCTCTCTCACAAACGCGGGGGACAAACGGAATTTGTCGAGAGACGAGATTATCGCCAAGATGAAACTTCTTTCTGACGGCCGTGCAGAAGGGAGATCGATCCGCGTGGAATCGCAGTCCTGCGGTGAACCGGAAACGTCGGGCTCTAATTATAAACATGGCGACTCGTCCATCAATCAAGCCCCGCCAGTGATGCGTCAGTGCTTCTGTTCTTTTCCCTTCTTTTTCTCTCTCTCCCTCTCGTCGTTTCTCTACGAAGTTTGTGGCGCAACTTTGAGTCTGAGACGATGCTATTATTATGCCTACCTCCCCAGGGATAATTAGAGTAGATTGGATCAACATATCCGTCTGTCTCTTTCCAGTCGTCCCTCCGTCGGCCGTCGGTATTTTATGAATGATAATTTGGTACGGTAAAGAGCTGCCAAGGTGCTAAATGATCGTTCGGAAAGTGATAACATGTGGCGCGTTGGCTGACTCTTATGTAACTCACGCGAACTGATCAACCTTCGTCGGATTCGAAAAAAATATCATATCGATATTTCGATGTAAAAATTTTCAGAAATAGTGGAATAAGAAACGGGAATGCGTGAACGGGGCCGAGAGTAAAACCGGGGGATGGGGACGATCGAGAGACCGGGGGATGAGGGATATCACGATGATGCGCGACCGTAAGGCAACGTATAGCGTCGTTTGTTTCGCGGGTTATTATACTTCATGAATGGTAATAACGAGTCGACGATCATAAATCCTCGAGGAGATCAATGCCGATTGATCTTTCGATTCGCTCGGTAACGCGGTTCGATTAAAATCGCGGGGCGAGCGAGGGAAGAGAAAAAGAGGGAGAGACGATATCGAACGGGCCGCGTATCTCTCGAATGTCTCGCGGGTAAAAGCTCCGGACGTGTGGGCATCAGGGACCTGGTCGGGCCCCGGGATCGGGCCCTCCCGCGGGCTGCGTTATTGTGCCGACGCGCGGCTGCCCCACGCACGCAATAATTCAACACTAACGTAACGCATAACACCTTACTACGTCCGTGGATATAAAAGACCATTCATCATATTCGGGTATATTAGTCCAGCCACCACCAATTTGTGTTTGCTATCATCGCGCTCCGAGCTAGGCGCTCTCAGCTTTTTAGATATACAAACGCACGGACAAATTATCGCGGCTAGTCGATTATCAGTCTCCGACGTCGGCGATTTATATTTTCTTTCGCGCGTGATAACTTTAATAAGCGTTCGCGAAGAGATGGCATTTTCCATCGTGTGTTTTTCGTCGTTTTTTTAGAAGCTTTATAATTATTTCCTAATTAAATCAGGAAATTGGAAGTAGGAAATAAATTTTGGGCTTATTTCGTATATGTTCGAAATGAGCGTCCAAGTTTTATTCTGATCAACTGGAGGTAGAACAAGATAGTTAAGATGAAGAAATCATTCGACAGTATAACGATGACAAATGGACGCCTTCACAATTTGAATGCTACAAAGTGTCATCAGCTAGTTTAAAAAAGGTCCATAAATTGATACACCATAGCACTTACCACATGAAAAGAACAGGTTTACTGAAGCATTCAAAAATTTGAGATTTCAGATACAGATCTGGAAATAATTTTATTGGGTTATTAAAATAATTAAGTAAAATACCACCTAAATATCATGATAATACTGCAAAAATTTTTAATAATTTCTAACAATCCGAACGTTTTACATAATTATATTCAACAATATTATTTTCAAATCTACATCTGGCCAATTTTTTTTTAGATTTTTTTCAGTTTTCAAAATTTTTTTTCCACAAATAAACAAATTTGATATTTTATCGTGTCTTTTCTACGTTGTTTATTACGTACATAACATGATAACGCTCACAATAATAGGTACGGTTACGACATTTATTGATAATGCATATCACATTTATCTAAACTATAAGGTTATAGAAATTATTCAATTTTACGAGAATAATTTAGATCGCTTTTTAATTGATAGAATAACATTATATTTTCTGTGCGCGCGCGCGCGCGCGCGTGTGTGTGTGTGTGTGTGTGTGTGTATGTATGTTTCATGTGACAAATGACATGATATTACATCGTAGAATAAAGGAGAGCGTAAGCTGAGGCCGACGCTGCGTGGAATTTTATATTAATATCATGTTTGTTTTGTACTTGGTGCAACACACGCATGGAAACTTCTTTTCGGGGAATTTATCTTTTAATACCCTTTAAATCCGACGTGGTAATAGATATTACTAAGGCCGTTTCGCAACAAAGTGTCCCACCCGTTTCGAACCCGCCGCGACGACAGGGTATTCGTATATCAAAAGCGCCGACGAGGCACGCGGAACGCACAAATTCGCGCAAGCGGAACATAATTTAACTCGATATTGCCGCCGAATAGAACCGGTTCGAGAATCAGTGTAACCCTTGACGATCCAGAAAATTCTCTGACGGGATATTCGATCAATCTTAGGAACAGCCATTGAATCAGATAAATGAGAAAACGCGAGAAACGACGAATTTATATAAGTAGCTAATATTTAATAATTATATTGCCCGCGTTTGATTTTTAATTAAATGTATTTTGTCTTAAAAAACGAATTTAGAGTCCAAAAATAAGAAAAAAAAAAAGTACAAACAATATAAAATATAAAGTCATAAAGTCATTTATCCTTTTCGTATTTTTCAAATTACAATAAGGCGTTTTCCTTAAGTTTGTCAACTTTTATACATATTATGATATATTATATTTCAAAGCTATTGTATACTGAGAATATGCATTGCACTTTTTTTCCATTCATTTTCGGCTCGTGTGCCATTTCGACACGCGCAGTTTCTGAACAAAACTCCATTTAGATCTAGTAAAGGTGGCGACATTAAGTATAATCTAAATATGTCTTTTGTGTCAATAATATGATTCTTCATAAAGGAGAGCGTGTCATAAAGGAACGATGTCATACGATGTCATTTCATGCGATGCATTTCAGACGTTTGAACGTGTTCTCGAGAACGAAGTTCTTCTGTAAAGAAAATAGTATTAGGTGTAACTGAAAAGATGAAAAATGCACGGTTGTCAATTCTATTATAATTTATTTAAGCTATATCCACTACGTCACAAACTACATCCATCAGATCATGTGCTACATCTATCAGGTCAGAAGCTACATCCATCAGGTCATAAAATTCCATTCGTCTATCTCATTTTGTCCTCGTCTACTTTTTCGATTTAGGCCTTTTCCAATCTGATCCAGTGCGATTCAAATTTTATTGCGAAAAACCATGACTGTACATTATCGATTATGCGAGCGTTCTTTATTCACATATATTGCTAATATCGCCCGAAAGACCGACCGTTATAAATCCCAACCCATTTAATATGCAAATCTCGGCACCTCCGACAGCCCGAGGTCTGCACACTTGCTTTCTTTCTTTCCTTTTTTTTTTTTTCGTGCCACGAACGAGTTTCAATCGCCAGTGTAATTCATACCGCGATGGACGACTGCGCGAGTAGTGCCATTCTCTTCTCGAGTACGTTATTATCTTTACTTCCCTCTCTGTCGCTTCTTCTCGGCTTTTGCATTCACATATTATGTTCATGTATATTTGCACTGGCATAAAATATATATCTGTACGAGGATTAAAAAATGTAAAATAACTCCACAAATCAAAGGCGATATCATCTTTCTCGTATTAAATATTCAGAGGAATTAATTTAGTAATACCATATAGTATTTTAACGTGCGAGACGACAATAAAAGTTATTTCCTTCAAATTGAGACACGTCTTTCATTCGCAAAAAGATTCAGAGATGAATATTTCGTATATATATACGAAAGAGAGAAGATATCGCGGCGGGATATCAAATGGGAAAATATTAATGTTAAAGGAAAACGCAAATAGCAACAGGA